AAGTTTCTAATTTAGCTCCAGTTTCTAATTATCTGCTTAGAACTACCAAATTAAGTTTAAAGTAAGTTGGATTAAGGCACTCTTACCACGAAAACCACATATGTTCAACCTCTCAGTTTCACCTCCTCCGTGTCCCGATCTTACAGATCTCAACATGCATTTTCACCTCGTGTTTCACCAATGTCAATCATGACGAGGTCCACCAATGGCATTCGTAACACCAAATTCCGATCATACCTAACTCAACAAAAACAAATGTACTGTGCCCATAGGCACAGCACAAAAATTCGGAATTAAATTTATCCGGCATAGTGTGGGCGGGGCCTTAATCAATAGATATAAAATATGGACTGTGGACGAAAGCAGACTAACACAGGGTTGCTCCAAACATAAGCATTATGAAATTTAATGCCTTGGAATGGTAATGCCGTGTGGGAGTTTATGGATAAATGTTTTTCAGTAATTTTATTCTGGTTACCTATTTCCCCTTGCTAACCGCTAAGCGAATGCTATCACGCCCTATAATTTTATCGCTTGAAGTTTTAAAACGAGAGAAGAAAAATGGCTGAAGCAGTACAATAGCCAACTTTCGATATTCTGGATGAGTGGTAAAGCACAAAACATTATGAGTCGAGGCGAATAGTGTTTTCGCGGTCATCGCGGGTAGCTTTGTCGAGCAGCTTTCCGGAATATTTTCAGTGTATTCAAGTTGTTCGTAGTTCAATTTAAACTTATCTAATCAAGAGCTAGGAGATATTTGTGAGGATGGCTGAACAATCAAGAAGATTTGCGTCTCTAGACAAACCTATAGACAAGTTTATCGAACACCAAAAAAAAACCAAAGCAAACATAAACACAGAAACACTCTTTCGAAGACACAAAGAGATGTAAATTTGCCTACTGAGTTTCTCAACTCCAAAAATGAAACGAGAAAAGTCGAGGAAATCCCGCCTTAAGAGCTTAATGGATATATCAGTGAATTACAGTACTATAACAAACGAACAACAGAAAAACATGTCTTTGATTCGGAGTCTACAAAATGCAGTGGGCACCGAGTGCCGTGAATCTTCATTCATGAAAAGTTCTAGTTTCCCTGCAGCAGGCCCATTCAGTGGAGCCGTTTTTCACGGAGGACAGTTTAACATAACAATAAACACTTTAAACAAGTCGCCCACTTCCACCGATAACTCATTCAAGTCAACAGAGTCAACACGTAGCTTCAAGCGCATCAAGCGTGTGTTTGAATCGTCACTGAGACAAAGACAGCTTTGACAAACTAAGTTAAGACTTTATTGACCTACCGATTTCGGTTGCTTATTTCGTTATTTTCAAACGAACAGTTTCATATTTAGTTTAGGATTTAAACGTTTTGCTAATTACTTTGTACCAGATATGTTTTTTGATTTGAATAGTGATATTTTTACGTGTAGCTTTTTTAAAAGCTTTTAGCTTTTCGAAGGGAATTTTGAAATACAGGAGTTTTGTATTTTTTTAGAGAACMCATTAAAGGTAAATAAATAAAAACAAAATGAATATAAAATGAATAAATTACAGCATGGAAAGCGCTTTGTACGGGCTTTTCCCACTCGTTGGTTTTGCATCTGAAATCTCACTCGTTCGCTGCGCTCACTCTTTCGATTTCAGATACTTCACCATGCATTTTAATCCCACTTACAAAGTGTTTAGCAAAGTCAATTTATTCAAGACTGCGCCAGAAAGTGATCTTGATGTTATGCCATTTTGGTAAACGCTCCTGTAGATATTTAGAAAAAACAACGTTTTCCTTGGGTAATAAGCCTGGTATCGATCATCGTATATAATACATATACACATAATTCAAAGAATGTTGTCAAATGGAATTAGTTATATAGTAAAAAAAATTCATAGGAATTATTTATCGTGATATGAATAAAAATAAGAAATCATTCTTCCAAATATTTCAAAATAATCTGGGCTTGCATTGCAGATTGCTCAGGGGAATTTTTTATTTTACGACAGAGTATTGGAAGAAGAATATAAACTTCAAGAATGAAGTCGACATTGCTAAATATCCATAATTTGCTGCTTTTGTTTGTTATATTCTTTTTTGACTTCTTTGCAATTATGATTTAAATTCATCAATTATGATTACAGTAGACTGAATGGTTTCCTTACAGAACCGTTATTTTTTTCATCCCTTGGAGGTCAATTGAAGACACATTATTCATCTCAAAGCTTCTGCAAATAAGCATATGAGCAAATGTAAAATAACAGTATCATTGACACTGTTCCTTGTCTATACTAGATTCAGGTACTTACAATATTCCAAGATTTGTGTTATCTTTAAAGAACCGACCAGGAATATACTGTAGTTTGTTCCGACCAACAAAACTAAAAAAACAACACAAGAGATACTTTCAATTTGACAAATTGACAAAAACAACATATTTTTTACGACAATCAACAACAGTCGCGACATGGAATTCGAGCAATACGCTGACGTCAATTCACCTTTTCGGCAGTAGCCATCACGTCGTAAACACTTTGTTGGATTGTGTTACGGTCACCAAAAAGTTCGGACATCGTTCTCGGATTCCCATACAAATTCACTGAGTTTAAAGAGAAAATTTATATAGATTTTTTTAGTTAGCTCTCTTAACAGCAATAAGAAAAGCTTCAATCAAGTAAATAGTTCACATTTAAAGTCAGTATATTTGTACGGAAATCCGAACTTCTTGGTGATCGTAACACTTTCCAACACGATGCATATCACTTGACGGCTTGCGCCGAAAAGGTGAATTAGAGTATGTAAACGAATCGAAAATTTTTTTTCCACGGTAGTCTTTTAACCCGATTTCAATGTCGCGACTGTTGTCTTGATCAAATTGTTGCAATGAAAGCAGTGCTAAACGATAAAGTCTCCTCGAATTAGTCATCAAAACGACATCAACATAGATCCAGTGATCCCTTAACAGTAATAAATTCGTATATTTGCTATAATTCCTTACACTGTGTAGCCTACAAATCGATTTACACCAGATTCAAGTAATATTTTGGTTGTATCTCTGAATATCTTAATTCTTAATTGTAAACCTACAAATATGTGAGCTGGGTCAATCCTCGTAGCAGGTTTTGCGGCAATTCCTTTATTAGATTACTTCCAATATTTCTGTTTTAAAGAAAAAATATCATTTTTATTTTACTTGGGGAAGACTGCAATTTAAACAGACTACCGCTACCACTACCGCTACCGCTACTACCCCTGCCGCTACTACCCCTGCCGCTACCACTACGCCCAGCTCTTGCTACTGATTGATTCGTATCTGGATAAAATCTATTTCGTTTTCATTATATTACTTACAAGCCGAAAAGTTGTAAGTTGTTTCGAAACAATTGTTGTGGTAGACTTGATATTTTGTTTCCTTGGAGGAACCTAAAACATGTAGTAATAATAAAATGTTTGTATTCGAATAGTCCCTTTTTCCATCCCGTAAATACTTGTCTGTGTTTTATAACTAAAAGTCTAATTTGTACACACTTAGCTAGCTTAATTAAGAAAATGGACCTGCGTTTATTCAAGCCAGTCGCAATCCCAGCGGTCCTTCGCGGTCGTAAAGGCTGTGAAATCGAGATTTTTTCCGTGTACGACATACTTACATATAAACGCGGGGACTCCGATATATGCTTTCTCGGGGTTTCGGCCTCTGGTGCGAAACCCTGCGAGGACAATTACTTACACTACGCAATGACATAGTAGCTACGCCTTCCCAGAACGTATGTATTAGTACGTAGTAGCTACAAAAACTCTGGACAAGACAATTAATTATGACTTTAACAGTCATAAGGCGAGCACACGGAAATGCAAACATGAACCCAGATTTTTGATTGCTTACTATCGAAACCAATCCATCCGGTTGGATATTGGTATATGTAATAACGCGGTTTCGAGTTCAATTTGTGATTAATTTGCACGAGTGTGTTTTTCTTTGAAAAACAAACGAGTGCAAATTATCCCAAATTGAACGAGAAATCGTGTTATTACATAATAATAACATACATGAAAAAAGTTACAAAAGAAAGAGACGAAAATAATTTGTGAAATATTCGCATAAGCTTAATATTTTATGAAATTCGTTCCTTCACAACCAACTATATTCGAAGCGATTGTGGTTTCAAATACATGTAATTCAAAGAGTTTTCTAACTATTTTAAACGAAAAATTGGCTATATGTTTATTGTAAAAAGATTTTTTTTTACTGTTAAGTAAATCTGAATCACTATGAATGAAGACATTTGGATTGGCTGACTTTGCAGCCAACTGGAGTTGTAAGACATATATTGAACAAAATTATTCCTGACAGTCGTTGAAAGTGTTCAGAAATCTTTGCGGCTCAGCTTGGGATCTTGTAGACCAAAATATTATATTGTGTAAGCACTTACCACATCGTGTTTAATGGTCTTGCTCATAGTCTTTTTCGTTTCTGTTTTAGTTTTAGTTTTACTTCGGCAAAGAATCGCTTGAGCATTTTCTTTAGATCGGCTGGCCCATTTCCCTCAATTCATGTCATAGTTTGTTTTCTTCTCATTATTTCTTCCATACATTCAGCAGTAACGATGTACTTTTACTTGTGTTTTCTTTTTGTAAAAATCTTTGCTTACTTTCACCTAAGATAAAATGGCTGCCATTTCCCCCCTCGATTTGCTTCACTGAAATTTTTCGTCATAAAAATCTGTCATCTTATTGGCTAAAATCAT